TTCTTCCTGTTATCAATACAAATCTTCCTTCCTTGTCTTTTATTTCTGACATATGTTCATAATTCAATTTTTTGGGTATAAGTATGGCCACTCCTCTTTTACGTACAGATTTATAGGATGCGTAGTGAACCTCCTTAAAACCCATTTTGTTTAGTTTTGAATGTTCTGCATCATTTACATGGGTTTCCTGTAGAAACACAACGTCTGCTCTAGCCTTCTTTAATTTGGACAGAATCTTTCCTCTTTTAACTGGACTAAGTACGCCATTAACATTAAAAGAAGCAATCTTCATACTTTACAGTCAATTTATAAAATACTAACAAAAGTGTTCTAACATATAGCATCCCCTTCAACAGAACAAACTGAAACAAATAAACAATCATAAAATTTGAAATATTAATTAACATGTACAACGTAAAGTGAACTTCCATAACTGAAGTCATTACCATGACTGTAATCGAGCCTTCACTTATAGGCTCCAAGGGAAAACCCCTCTTTATGAGTTAATAGAAGGGGCCCTTGTAGATAGCAGTTAAACAAAGAACCCTTTGAGCTATCCATACAACATGTCCCGATTGTTCAGTACTACACTCTGATAACTAGGTTGTTCAAACTAAATAAATAAAGACGTTGCGTCTCGCGCTCTCCCTCTCTTTTTTATATGAGTTAAAAAAAAAGAGAGGGAGAGCGCGAGACGCAACATCTTTATTTATTTAGTTTGAACAACCTAGTTATCAGGTATTTTGCCAGTCCTGAAAGCGTCAGTCCGAAATGGCATAATCCTTCTCATCTCCGTATTCACCGTTTTACCGTTAAAGTACGAAGAGAATCAGGACCGTGCATAAATTATGAAGATTGCAAACTCCCGTCCTTTCTTCTGAAAGTTTGCAGCTTCTCCTTGAATGTTGGCCCTCTTCTCTGTTGGAGATCGCGTCTGCCCGTGCTCCGGCCACTTCTCTGCCGAGACATTCGCTGAATCTGCTCCATGAGGGTGTTCGGGTGGCTGATGGGCTGCACCGGGATTCCTCTCTTTGACGTGTCTTGCGTTGCCTCCTCGACCGTGTTGTATATCTTCACTTCATCCTCATAGAGCACCTTCAAACGAGCGGGGTACAATGTTTTAAATTTCACTTCTCTGTCTTTCAAAACATTGCGTACCTCTGTGTACTCCCTTCTCATCTGTAGCACTTGAGGGGCGTAATCATTATCGAAGCTGATCTGCCTTCCTTGCCAAGAGAATCCTCTCATCTGCCAGGCCTGTTGAAGTATCTGTTCTTTGGTTGTGAAACTTAGAAATTTAACCACGATTGATCGTGGTTGTGCGTCTGCCGGTGGCTGTCTGCCGAGCGCTCTATGAGCACGCTCAATTTGAAGTGATGTGTCCTCCGATAGATTTAGATTTTCTCTCAGAAATGTTTCTAGAAATAGAGCCATTGTCGGAAAGTCCTTCTCGGCACCTTCGGGAACTCCGTATATTCTAACATTGTTCCATCTGGAACGACCCTCTATGTCCACGAGTTTCTCTTCCATTTTGGTGTGTAACTTCAACAAGCCCGTGAGTACCTCTTCTGCGTTTTGAATCCTCTCTTCTGCTGTCACGACTCAGCCCTCTACCTCCTCCAGTCTAGCGTTGGTATTCGAAATTTCTGCTTTAATGTCCTCGAGTTGAGTTTTGTTATCCTGACGAAAGTCCCTTAATTCCCTAGGAATGAGGCTAAAGTCGACGGTCTCGTTGGCGGGGTGCACGGAATCTCCCTCATGGCAGCTTGCTTGTGAGCCAGGGGGAGAGCGCGCATCGAGAGAGTCATCGTCTTGTTTCTCCGTAGGATGTGTGATTTTCTTAGATCATAGATTACTTAGATCTCAAGTTTAATGATCTTAGGGAGTTTTCAAAACTATTCTAACCGGGAACGTTAGCTCTATGCATCTTGTTGATGTCCAACCCGGAAGTCCAATATTTTTTTTTCAAAAGATATTTCAAATAAATGCTCTTCTTTTGAACATTCTATTCATTAAAGAATCTTGTAAAAATGTATCACAGATTTCACAACAATATTAAGCAGCACAACTGTTTTCAACCTTGAACATAAAAAAGGTTTCTTTAGCACCAAATCAGTATATTAGAATGATTTCTGAAGAATCATGTGACACCAAAGACTGGAGTAACGGCCGCTGAAAATGTTTACTGTATTTTGATCAAATTCATGCAGCTTTGATTTCTGAAGGATCATGTGACACTGAAAATTGCAGTATTGGCTGCTGAAAATACCATCTCAATAATACATTGTTTTAAAAAATATTAAAATATAAAAGTTATTTTAAATTAATAATATTTTAGAATATCATTTTACTTTATTTTTTTTTTCTTTTAAAAACATGAAAAGAATCTTACCAAACCCAAACTTGTCAATTCCCCTCATTTTCACACAGGTGGCCTAGCAGAATAACCACAACATGTTCTACTAACCTTTGACACCCAGAAACTGTCCAAACAATATCGGCCACTCTGTCTGGCTTTTTTGGTCGGAAAGCCTGAAATCAAAAGCAATGTGCCTTTTACCGCTTTGACAAAGTGTTGTATAATTATAGGGATATTGTGTGTTAGGATTCTAAGCCAGTGGCTCAGCTTTGTGTGCGTGTTCTATTCAGACAGAGATCCTCTGTGGCTGGATTATTGTCCTGCTGCTTAGCACTTATGAATGATCGGCAGGTTAAAATTCACACATACACAACACACTTCCACTAAGGGATTGAAGCAGCATTGTGTGTAAAGGATAGAAGGATGAAGTGAACGTATTAAAGAAAAAAAGAGGTATTGATAGCGAGAAGGTTTCAGATGAGTAAATGTGAAAGGCCTGTTAGTGTGACACATTATGCAGGAAACATATTTAGAGCGGACGCAATATTCCCAGCTGTCATTTCTGTGTTTGTGGCTAGACTGTGCTGTTCAGCCATGAGTAGATGGCCAGTTTAATAAATATGCTTCCCAGATATGACAGGCAAAATTAATTTATCATCTGTCCAGGGAGAGGGGCGTGTCTCCAATAATAGATTAGGTTACAAGTGTTTTATTCAGGTTGATTACTCGCACACAAATGCGTATTCACATAAGTTTTCCAATATAGAGTCTAGGCCTGGGCGATAAAACGGTATCGATATTTATCGACGGTACACCTTCGATAACGATAGAAAAAATGTTCGATATAGCGCACGATATTGTGTGACGCAGACCGCACACACAAACACGAACACGTACTGAAATGAGTGCTGTGCCTGCCTGTGACGAGGAGATTGTGAATAAAGAATGAATATTAGTCGAATTTGAGTTAATTTAGACGTAATGCACGGTTTTTATAGACAGTTATTTCATTGAGTTGACCATTTAAATGCGCTATTATTTTGCTCTTTGCGCCCTCCTGTGGCCTCAGGAGACAAGCCAAAAGTTTCCTTAAAGGGGTCATATGATGCGATTTCAATTTTTC